TATATTAATCATAAATAAGTGGTCAATTAATGAATTATTTCAATAGTTCAACTGTTTATAAAAAGATTGTAAGGTTAAAAATGATTCGTTGAATTATTATAGTAATTAATTTTATGAGTTTAATTTTGTTATTTTGGCGAATAAATCTCTCACAAGTGTAGGTGCAATTTTTCGAAATTAATAAATTATTTTAACGAAGACTTTCATATATTAAAAATTTTATCAAAAAAAAAACATAAGAAACAAATTTCACCAAAGTTTGTAAAAGGATTACTTTTTGTACGAGAAAAAAAAAACTGTAACATCAAAGTTTTTGGTTTTTTTTCCAATTTTTTATCAAAATGATTGCAATAAAAATTAATGCAAAAAAAATTTAGCAAAGTAAAAATTTAGTAAATATGCAAAAATTTATTCAAGTAATCATTTACCAAAGTTAGCAGCACAGTACTTTCACACATCGCTCCACAACAACCAAGGAAACCAACGAGAAATAAGATCGCGCCAATAGCTACCAATATCCAAAGTGATGTTTGGTACTAAAGTCAAAAATTTTTTGAATTATTTAACTCCGTTTGATTTGCAATTTTTTTTTGTACGTCAAATACAGTTATTGAACGTTAAACTTAAACTAAAAACTTTTCCAGGCTTTAAACTAAATCTGAACTGTATTATTTACTGCATTCATAAGTACCATATTTGAATGAATTATTAAATGATTACTTTAACATTTAAAGTAATTATAATTGAGTAAATTACTTACTTTTGTTAATATGTTCATATCTTCTTCATGCATCTCTTCAGCCAACTTTTTCAAATTATCAGCAAAATCTTTATCCAAATTAGCCCATAACGAGAAACCAAAGATAAGTGCACCAAATGCACAAAGTAATAAATTCGCTGTGAAGAATAAAAATTTTAACATTCGATTGCCACAACCATGAACCATCTTAGTAAGAGCTTAAACTTTGTCAGAATTAATTTCAATATAATATTTTTTAATTCAAATATTTAATTTTGAAATGTGCGCCAAAATAACATACTACAATTTTTGATAATAGTAAGTTTCATTTCTTTATTACTCTTATTTTAAAATTAATATAAAGAAGCACTAAAAAGATATGTAATTTTTTACAAACTTATTATTTATCTTTATTTTTCATCTTAATAAAACAATTGTTTCTTCGCACGAAAAAATGTAACGTACGAGAGAGAATAAAAAATAAAAATACTTTACAATCAATGCTTGGATAAAACATCATGAAGTTTAACAATTAAAAATTTAACGCTAAAATGTAAATAACACTAGACAATCGTTAATGAAGAAAACTAACAATACAACTGCGATACATTATCAGAGTTTTGTTATTAATTATAGATAAGTATTGATATTCTATTGTATTACTTATTTTGTATACTTATTACTGTATTATTTATTTTTCAAACCTCATTTTTTGTATTCATATTAATTATTATTTCAACAATTTACTTTTGGGCTATTCCATGTGTTTTTCGTATTTTCAACTCAAATGAAACATACTTTTTCAGCGTAAAATAATATGAAAGTATATTAAATTGTTTATCTAAAATATTGAATTATCATAAAAAATTTGAAATAAATATCAAAAATGAGTAAAAAATTTTATTTTAATTACTAATTAAAATTTTAATAGTTTTTTAATAGACAGAAATTGTTTAATTTAGAGAAATAAATGACTGCAAGTGATAAATTAATGCAGTTTTGTGAATCATTTCTTAAAAAGGCAACATTATTCATATACAAATACGTGTTTGCACTAGAATAAGTAATTTCTATGATAAAAAAACTTCAACTTATTTATTATGCTAAAAACTGAACTTACTTTTTAGCTATACAAATAATCTAACAATTTTAACTTAAAATTTATAAAATGTAAAAAATTTCTGACTGAAAGAAAACACATTTTTATTTTTGTCTTAAAAATTTTGGCAAACTGATTTATTTGTTTATTAAAACTGAAGCAAATGTGTGCCTTAATTGTATTCCTCCATACTTTATGTTAGTTTACTGTCATATTAAAAACTTTTTTATAATTAATACTTTTTACTTTTTATATTTTAATACTATACTTAATACTTTTTATTTTTTATAGTTATATAATTTTTTAAATTGCATATTGTGTAATCAGAAATAAATATGCTTAGAATCAACATATTAATAGTAATTAATAAATACTATATTAATTATTGACCAAATTACTTTTACTAATGAAAAATTGAGCATAGTCCAGACTGATCTAGGGATATCTTCATTACTCTCTCAATCTCGAATAATAATAAAGATGTAAAAGTTTTAGGACACAAAATTTTTATCAAAATCGTGTAAATACCATTACTTTACAACACTCACAGAATACAAACGAGAATTGTACGAGAAATTGATAAAATATGCCTTTCTGAGATATTTGATAATACGAAGGATTTCTCTTTACTTCTAAATTAGGGGTAATTAAGAGTGGAGATATTCAATCGCTGAGATTAAGTAGGATTAACTATCGAAATGACTGACTTTCTAAAGAGAGCAATTTGATGGCTGCAATTCTGAATATTTTTATAAATTATGCAAATTGCAAAGACATTCATAAATATATAATTACTAAACTAAAAATACCGAATAGAATAATTAGTATAAAAATTATCAATGTTAGCATAAATTTTAGCATACCCAGAGTAAAATGACAGTGTTGTCTAGCGAATGAATTACTTGCACAAGTCTTATCTTTTATTTTTCAAGTTGAATTTCCATCATCGTGTTTAAAATATTATTCATATATAAAACAAAATTGCGCAAAGTTTTCGCATAAATTACAATATAATTGGAACATTAATATCAAAGTAAACAGTGCAATAAGTTAATACTAAAATTACATTCCCAAATACAAGGGTATAAAAATTAAAAAAAAACTATTATTATAAGTCTACACTAAAATTGAATTCCTAGATTAAAAGACATAAAGATTTAAAAAAATATTTATTATTATTATTATCATTATTATCGTTTTGATCATCTATATTCTTTACTCACTAAAGTAATTAATAAAATTAGTTACAAAATGAATAGTAATTTTAGAAAATGAATTAAAATTTTCAATATTAATTTGATACGTAAAAAACGTTTCCAAAAAAAATTTTTGTAAGTTTTTGCAAAGAAAAATACAAATGAATGCTTATTATTAATAACAGTGATTAATATTAATATTTGCATGTATTATTATTAGTAATTATAAAATATACTGAAATAATTTTTACATATTAAGCAAGTATCAATAAATTGGAACAAGAACATGATAGGCGGAATTTGATAAATACTTTTACAATACCAATGATAAAAAGTATTACATTTAACTCTGACTCAAACAATGCATACAAGTTTTGCTCTTTTTCGAAAATAAAAAAAATAATTAATTTTTTTTCCGCCATTCATTTGCATTTTAATATTTCTGACTTGAAAAGACAAAAATAATTGCAGCATGTCTAACATATTATATGTCTAATTATTATTATTATTATTATTATTATTATTATTATTATTATTATT